TGGGTGGCTGGTGGGGAGCGGGGCCGAGGGACGCAGCGTTGACCGCCTCGCCGCCACAGGTGTGGGGTGACGCGGCCTCGCAGATCTTCTACTCGCTGGGCTGTGCCTGGGGTGGGCTCATCACCATGGCCTCCTACAACAAGTTCCACAACAACTGCTACCGGTGAGTGCCCAGCCGTGGCCCCCCCAGCCCCTCCCCTCTGCTGTCCCCTAGCCCTGCCACCAAGCCTGACCACTCTCCCTGCAGGGACAGCATCATCATCAGCATCACTGTGTCTACGCCGGCTTCGTCATCTTCTCCATCCTGGGCTTCATGGCCAACCACTTAGGTGTGGACGTCTCCAAGGTGGCTGACCATGGCCCTGGCCTGGCCTTCGTGGCCTACCCTGAGGCCCTCACCCTGCTTCCCATCTCACCCCTCTGGTCCATCCTCTTCTTCTTCATGCTCATCCTCCTGGGGCTGGGCACACAGGTAGGTCATGGTGGGGCAGTGTGATGGGGCCAGGAGGTTGGGGTGGAGCAGCAGGGTGGCATGATGGGGGACAAGGTGATGGTCCAAGTTGACGTGGTGCCCTCTCCACCTCATGTGCAGTTCTGCCTGCTGGAGACCTTGGTCACAGCCATTGTGGACGAGGTGGGAAATGAGTGGATCATCCGCCGGAAGACCTTTGTGACACTGGGGGTGGCCATCGCGGGCTTCCTACTGGGCGTCCCGCTCACCACGCAGGTAGGTGACCACGGGACTGTGGTGATTGGGTGCCATTGCCACAGTGACCTTCCCATGCTGATGCTACCAGCCATGTCCATACTGTTGCCATGACCACCCTCTTGGTGGTGGTACTCGGGGCCTGGTGTTACCATGCCAACGCTGGTGATGGTACCCAGACTAAGCATTGCCGTGCTGACCTCGGTGGTGGTAGCTGGGCCATGTGTTGCCGTGCCAGCCCTGGCAGCCAACAGCGACGGTGCCACTGGGGCAGCCGTGCAAATGAGTCCCTCTCACAGGCGGGCATCTACTGGCTCCTGCTGATGGACAACTATGCCGCCAGCTTCTCCCTGGTCGTCATATCCTGCATCATGTGTGTGGCCATCATGTACATCTACGGTAGGTGCAACTGCCTACAGCAAATCAGCCGGCAGGGCCACCCCGGACCACCAGTGGGAAAGGGAGTGTGCCAACTTCTGGCCAATTGGTGGTTTGCTGTGTGCTAACTGGCTGAGGAGTGCCAGGCCTTTGGCCAGTCAGGGCAGGCATGGCACAAGGAGCGTGTTGGGTCCCACCACCAGGGGTGTGGAGCTGGTGCTGGGCAGGGCTGGGAGGGGGCTCAGGTCCCACCGGTGACCCGGCCCGGCTGGGTGGGGGCTGACGGCTGCTCTTCCCCGCAGGACACCGCAACTACTTCAAGGACATTGAGATGATGCTGGGCTTCCCACCCCCACTCTTCTTCCAGATCTGCTGGCGCTTCATCTCACCTGCCATCATCTTTGTGAGCATTGCGACCGTGGGGCGCAGGGTCACGGGGGGAGTCTGGGAGCCCACTTGGGGCCCCCCACTTGCCCACCCTCAGGACGGGGTTGCTGGG